CTTTCACTACTATAAAAAAAAAAAAAACAGATTTAGGGGGCGCCTGGGTGACTCAGTCGGTGGAGTGCCCAGCTCTTGGTTTCAGCTCAGGTCGTGATCTTGGGCTCCTGAGATCAAGCCCCGCGTTGGGCTCTGCGCTCAGCGCAGTCTGCTTGTCCCTCTCCTTCTGCTCTTGCCCCCCACTTTTAGTCTCTCTCTCTGGAATAAATAAATAAAATCTTTTTAAAAAAGCCTCATATTCCACAGGTTAATACCAACAAGGCGTATATCCCAGTAGTTCCTTTAAAAACAAAAACAAAGGAGCACCTGGGTGGCTCAGTTGGTCAACATCTGCCTTTAGCTCAAGTCATGATCTTGGGGGCCTGGGATCAAGCCCCATGTCTGGCTCCCTGCTCGACAGACAGTCTGCTTCTCCCTCTGCACCCTCCCCCCACATGCTCTCTCTCTCTCAAATACATAAGTAAAATCTTTAAAACAAAAACAAACAAACAAACAAAAAAACCAGATTTGGAGTTGACTGTTACTATCTTTTGGCACCTTCTAAAATGGCCAATTGATTTTTCTCTTTTTTCTTACTGATGTGATGTATACTAATAATTAAAGTTCCTGATACTGATCATTGAGTATCTTTCAATGGACTGCTAGATTCTATTTGCTAATGTTTTATTTCTGCCTCTGTATCTACCAGCCAGATAACTGTCTATGCTTTTCTTATACTGGCCTATCTTTTGATGTGTTACCAGCATAGATATGCTAGATTTTTAATTTTTCTATAAATTTTTGACAATGAGAAAAGTTTTAAAAGAAGAATATAGAGACAGACAATGCATCATTCTCCAATGTGAAAAAAGCAATGTTGTGACATACTTACTTCAGACCATTGTTTTCAACAAATTTCACAAAGTAACATCTCCACATCAATACATTATTTTACTCCCTTATCAGATGAAATAAGCATAATCAATTTTGTGCCTATCTTTTCAGTCTACTTTTTCTAATTATAAATGTATACATCTACACAATATGTAATGTTACTACTTAAAATTCTGTAAGTATTACTTACATTGCATCACTCAGCAAATTGCTTTGTTAACGCAACTTTAGATGTATAAGATCTATTCTTACATATAGTGAGGTTCATTTTTCTAAATTGTTTTAAAATACTCCACCATGACCACACCTAATTTATTCATTTCCTTAAATGCAGTAATTTATTTTCTTTTCTAATCATTTGCCAGTTTTGGAAATGTGTCAGTGAAGACATGTACATGTTTTTCTTTCTTATTTATTTTTTTAATGCACATACATGTGAGTTTACCTAAGCCACAGTTTCTTGACCTTGGGACTGCTATTTCAGATCAGGTCTGATAATTCTTTGTTGTGGGGCCACCCTGCGGAACCTAGGGTGTTTTCCTGAACCCTCTGCCTCTGCTCGGAAGATGCCAGTAGCAACCTCCCAAAGTGTGACAACCAAAAACATGTCCAGATATTGCCAAAAGCCCCTCTAGAGTTGCATCAGCCTACGATGATATGTTATGTACATGTCCAACTTTACCATCTATTACCAAACTGTTCATCAAATTGGTTTTACTAGTTTAAACTCTCATCAGGAGTGAGTGGCTAGCTCTTTGCATTACCTGATTTTTCTTATTGTTGCAAATGTTCTCATTTTGAAATGGTATCTGAGTATTCTTTCCATTTGCATTTCCTTACTTATTTGTGAGAATGTGCATCTTTTTCATCTGTTTACTGGAAATCTGGGGTTTCTCTTCTGTATATGCTGCTTTCTGAGAAAGGAACAGGGGATTTTCTTCATTCTTTAATTTTTGCAACGATTAAAACAATTTTCTGTGCTTTGACGGTTTGGAAATACATGCTTAGGAATTTCCTGTGTGTGGCTCCTTTCATGTTTGGAAATTGTCCTGGTTCTTCTATGGTTATTCATCTCATTTGATTTTTCATTTCTTTTAGAGTCAATTTCATATTTGTACGAAGGATTCTTATTCATTTAGTGTTACTACCTTTGTGTTTATACATACCCCTGGTTTCTATCACCAAGGATCTACCCTTAGTTTTCTAATACATTGTGTATAAAGAATATACTCTATACGTTTTCTTAATTTGGGAACTTATTCAACTTTACTCTATGGCCTAAGATATGATAAATTTTTTTAATCATTTTATTTATTTCATCATGACAAGTGCACTCTTTAATCTCCAGCCCCTATTCCCCGTTCCGCCCACTCACCTCCCCTCTTGTGAGCACCAGTTTGTTCTCTATAGTTAAGAGTCTCTTTCTTGGTTTGTCTCTCTTTTTTTTCCCTTCGCTTGTTTGTTTCTTAAATTCCACTTATGAGTGAAATCATAAAGTATCTGACTGACTTATTTCACTTAGCATTATCCTCTCTAGCTCTATCATGTTGTTGCAAATGGCAAGATTTCATTCTTTTTATGGCTGAGTAGTATTCCATTGTGTGTGTGTATATATATATATATATATATATATATATATATATATATATATATATATACACACACACACATACATACACACACATACACACACTACTTTTTATCCATTCATCTATCCATGGACACTTGGGCTGCTTCCATAATTTGGCTATTATAGATAATGCTTCAATGAAAAGAGGTACATGTATTCCTTTGAATTAGTGTTTTTGTATTTTTAGGGTAAATACCCAGTAGTGTACTTCTTGGATTATGGGGTAGTTCAATTTTTAACTTTTTGAGGAACCTCCATACTATTTTCCACAGTGGCTGCACCAATTTGCATTCCCACCAACAGGGCACGAGTGTTCCTTTTTCTCTACATCCTCCCAACACTTGTTGTTTCTTGTGTTTTTGATTTTATCCATTCTGACAGGTGTGAAGTGATATCTCATGTACTTTTCACTGCATTTCCCTGATGATAAGTGATGTTGAGCATCTTTTCATGTGTCTGTTGGCCATTTGGATGTCTTCTTTGGAGAAATGTCTGTTCATGTCTTCTGCCCATTTTTTAATTGAATTACTTGTTTTTTGGTGTTGAGTTGAATGAGTTCTTTAGGTATTTTGGATACTAACCCTTTATTGGACATGTCATTTGCAAATATCTTCTCCCATTCGGTAGGCTGCCTTTTAGTTTTGTTGATTGTTTCCTTTGCTGTGCAGAAACTTTTTATTTTGATGTAGTCCCAATAGTTTATTTTCGCTTTTATTTCCCTTGCCTCAGGAGACATATCTAGAAAAATGTTGCTACAGCTGATGTCAGAGAGATTACTGCCTGTGTTCCCTTCTAGCATTTTTATGGTTTCAGGTCTCATATTTAGTTCTTTAATCCATTTTGAGTTTATTTTTAGATATGATCAATTTTTTTTTAGTAAGTGTCTAAAATACAGTATTGATATGGAAAGCTACCATTTGCTTGCCTGATATATCTTTGCTCTTTATTTCATTTTAGGCAATTTAAGCTCAAAAGCAAATGCAGCTTTGGGCCCATTTGCTTTCCATGAATTTTATTTTATAGCGCTGTTATTTGTATGGTCCCTCTCATTAACTTAAAACTACACATCTGCCCACATACACTCCTTTTCCCTAACAAACTACTCCAATTATTCACATGTTCGAGTCTTTATATGTATCACAAGTCTCTCTTACACGTTAACATCCACTCAAGGTGACCTATCCAAATGCAAAACTGACCCTATTTCTAGATGAACACCACGTTGCTGGCTCAGGCATAGAAGATGTGGGATTAGGTATTTTAATAATATAGTGTATGAAATAATATATAGCACTTTATGCAACATTTATATAGATGATATGTAATACAGTACATGATGTAATTATATAATAATATAGCTTGCTGTTAATAACTCCATCACTGCAGTTATTGACGTGACATAGGAGGAAGCATCTGGCACTTGGACGGGCCCTTCTGCTCTTGGCCCTCAGAGTCTTTCCTCTCCTCCAGGTTGGTCCCATGCTGTCCTCACTTCTTTCCTGAAAGCCTCAGGAATACGTCCTCATTTCCTCTCTTCTGCAACTTCTCTGTCCCTGTCCCCTTGGCCCTCCTCCTCTCCAAGACCGGGGAGAGGAGAGAGCCTGGAAGGCAAGCTCGCCATGCCTCTCTGGAAGATCTGCTGCTGAATACAGCTGAGAAGAGATGGGCTGGAGGATGACAGTGGGGCTTTCTAAAATGACAGACGTGGGAGCATAGAAAGTTCTAGAAATCTTGCAGGGCTGTTTCAGACAGAGCCCCTCCTGAGCAAGTCCTGGCCACCGCACTGAAAAATGGGTCTGGTGGAAAGAACTTGACGGGAGAGACAACAGAGCACTGAGAGCTCACTGGGCTCGGAGTCTGACTGAGGTCTTGCCTTCGGACATTCCAGAGCTCAGCGTTCTCTGCATTCTTTTTACTTCCTTATCGGTGGAAATGGCAGGAAAGGCAGCCTTGTGGGGTAGCCCCGAGGACTCAGGTTGGTTTGCGTTTCTGTGCTGTGCCCAACACGTTCCCACCATGGCCCCAGAGAAATGTCATAGCCATCCTTTAGGCTCATTTACAGCAAAATATTTGCCCTGCCTGACTTCACCTTGTCTCAGAGGAAAATTTGCAAACCTTCAAAAATCCTGTAAAATGTAAATACATTTCCAGGTCAGAAGGTCTTATCTGAGAATCAATTCCACAAGCTGGAGCTTTATTTAGGATTCTCGGGGAGCCTCTGAAGGTTGGCACAGCATCTGATCCGCCAGAGACGGTGGTTTTCGTTAGACCATGTCCGAGTCCCATGGCAGTGAGTCTCAGTGCCCAGGCCATGCCCCGGTCCCACTATCCCAGAATCTCTGGGAAGTGGGAGGCACCCATGGGCTTAGCAGGCCCCAAGGGACGTGAGACATCACTAACTCAGACAGTTTTATCTTGCTGCTCTCTGAAGGAAGGCACGAGAGGGAAAAGATGCTGAAATGCAAATATAACTCATTATAACTCCATCCTCACTCAGGAACACCACTGGTATTTTGACATAACCCTCATTTTCGCCAAGTGCCCTGTTGCTGTGTTCACTCTCCATCTGGGACATTGTCCATACTTGGTGAGCGCCTTCTGCGATCAGGGGGACAGCATGCTGCCCAACACCCGTGTGTGGCTGAGAGCCCCAGGTCAAGCTCCTCCGTCTGACCACGCTCTCGGTTCTCGCCTCTTTATGGGAATTTCTCACACCAGGACTCTGGAAACTCGGCCCGGGTTATTTCACACCTCAGTATTCGTTGCTCCCAACACCGCGCCTTTCCCCGAAACAGAACTGCAATCTGAAAGGACTGATTTCTGCCGTATGCTCCGTGCTTCTCCTATTTAGCACCGGCAATTCAAAAGGTGTACTGAGTATGAGTCGGACCAGTTCATTAGCACGAGTCACTGTGCAGTATGTACTCTTCAGGGAAGGAAGGGACCCGTCTGGAAGAAGCCCGCCATCAGCATTCATTTATGGAATTGTTGCCGTTTCGCTGTTCCGCTTCTGTGTGGTCGCTGCTCTCTAGATACCTGTCCCACGGGTCCTGCCTGGTCCCCACGGACCTTACCCTCAGCCGGTATCTTCGCTTCTCTATTCCCAACGCCTTCGCCTTCCTGGGCTCCTCAAGTTCATCTGTGGGCTTGTAACTCCTGCTTCCCGGCCCCCTGCAGCCGGCACGGAGCCTCCTCGCCCGCTCCCGGGGCCCTTGGTGCGGGGCCTCCTCGCCTGCTCCTGGGGCCCTCAGTCAGATGCTCAGGACACTTGTCACACTGCCACTGAGAAGCTGATGGCCCAGATTTTGAGCACTTTGAGCGGCTACCGAGTAGTGACCACGTCCTTTCCTGCATCCTCACAAAAGAGCACCGGGCCTGGGGCTCAGGAGATAATGCTTCCTTTCGAATGAGTGAGGGAAAGACGAGCGGAGACTTGAGTCTCCTGGGACCGGCTGCCCGCAGCCTCTGGGTGGCGGGTCTCCTGGGCTCCCCCTCCTCTGCCCAGGAGGCCGTGGGGACCCCTCCGCCCGTGTCAGCTTGCGAGAGCCAGACCGTGCACTGCCAAGAGTGGAGGCAAGGGGGACCGAGGGATGAGCCATCTGAGCGGTGGCTGCGTGGGGGTTTTAAGCCACGGCAGCCGCCACAGCCCAGCCACGGCAGCAGGGACTGGACTAGAGAGCGCGCGGGCGAGGCCGAGACAGGCAGGTCTGCTCTGTGTGCTGGGGGGGCTTTAAGCAGGGTGCACAGTGAGGACCTGACTTCTGCTTTAGAAAGAGCACCTGCCCGCGGAGCAGAGTGTAGACCGCGGTGGGGCCGGTCGGTGTTCGGAAGCCCGAAAGGAAGGCTTGAAGAATTTCAGGTGGGCGAGGCTGGGCACCAAGCCCAGGACTGTAGTAGGAAGATGGGGAAAGGGAGCTGGGTCTGCTGTGTAGGGAGGCGGCACGGCCAGGGCTTGCCCACAGACGGGGGTGGGAGGGAGGAGAGTGAAGGGCAACACTGCAGGTTTTGGGAGGAGTGGGATGCCGCTTACAAACGCAGGGAGATGAAGGGGAGAGAAGAGAAATGATCACCCCAAAGCTATCAGAAACTCACAAGTTTGTACGTCACCTATACACCCAAGCCCCGTTCCCGCCAGCCCCTGCTGAAAAGGATTAGCACCACCTCTGCAGGTAAGCAAAAGGCAGGGTTCGGAGAGACACCCTATAACCTGTGGGGCGTCCCTGGGCTGGTGAATGGCTTACCCCGTGCATCTCTGCAGCCCACTCTCCCTTTGCTGCATTGTTATTCCTGGAAACAAACGCCCTGCAAGAACTTCGTGGTTCCAGAGATGAGTCGAATCCCTTAGAGGGTAACCCAGAAAAGCCGGGACTGGTGGGAGCACTGTCATTCCAGAAGGAAACGCCGGCCCCCATTCGTCCCACGCCACCCATCCCTGCATTCGGGGGACCCTGCGGTTGATGCTCAGCTAACTCTTCATTCTGCAGAGCAGTGTCCGGAGATCCCAGGATGCCAACCCCCTTGTTGGACACACAGGAGTCAAGAAAAGAGAGGTCACATTCAGAGCAACAAACTCCAGCAATCACCTACTTGCCGAGAGGAGTGAATAGGAAAAAGTGAAGCTGAACCCCTCAGGGTGTGACAAATGGATTAAAATAGACTCGGGGCACTGAACAAAGCCCATCAACCCGCACTAGAGCAGAAGGGCTGAAATCAGGGGCGTGCCACATGCTGGGCCACGTCGCCCAAGACAGCCCACCGACGCACACCCAGGCCGCGTCTCGCTGAGGTGAGGACACATGTCCTCACAGAGCTGCCTTTGTCCCCGTCAGTGACCAGTCCTCAGTGCAACAGCAGAGTGGTTCTTTGAAGCTCTCTTCGGCTGAGCCTGAAGATTCTCCTGGCTTCCCTGAGGGTAGCAACCCACTGACAGCCCCCAAGGCCCTGTCTGATCTGCTCCCTGTGGGCGCTGACCTCCCTCCTCGTCCTCTGTGGGCTCCCCACTCCGCCACGGAGGGCTCACGCTGCTCCTTGAGCTCTCTGCAGCTTCCCATCCTCGGTTTGCTCTACCTGTTCCCTCTTCCTTCCGGAACGTTCTTCTTCCGATTCCACCTTGGGTAACTCCCTTACGTCATTAAGAGTTTGCTCATGTCTGCCGTCTCTGTAAGCCCCCGCCGCCCAGAACTTCCACCCGAGCCCCAGACTCTGCATTCCTGGTCCCTGTTCGCACGCCCTGCTTGCTTCCTTCCACAGCACTGAGCACCCTGGCACGCTCTTGAATTTCCTCGTTCACGGCACCCACTGCTCCTTGTGTGTCCCTCTGTGGGAATTTAAGGTCCAAGAGGGCGCAGATGCTTGTCTCAATCACTGGTAAACTGAAAAATTCTCAGCACAGAATAGGATTGACTCTGGACTGTATGCATCTTTATCCCCAAAACCCTGCTTGTGCTTAAGATAAACATTTTCAGAGTGATGTCATGCCTCTCCTTGTTTGGGTTCATTTGCCACAACCTGGGGCTTTCCAGCACTGCTCTTGGGGTGTTTATTTTCGGACTTGGCTGGTTTTATCTGTTCTGACACTGAGGTCTCGCGGTTACTGAACTCCGTCAGCTAGAACTTTCTTACAGAATCCTGGAGGAAGCAAGCGTTTCTGCTGCCTCCACTATTCATTTAGAGGCGCCGAGTCAAAGGATATGTTGAAATATACCCCATAACCTCTAGGTTTTTATACCTAAAAGCTTGATCTGGATAGAATGTTGGCTGCATCAGTCTCCCCAGCTGGACCCCACAGATCAGACTGGGAGGCGCTGTGGGAGCTGTGGTCGGGTGCACCGAACTGGAGACGTTGTGAGCTAGCGGACTGACTACCCTGGGCGGCAGCCGTGCCGGCCTGAGGGGTCACCCGGCACTGGGGACGAAAGGCGTCCAGGAGGCTCAGGGAGCTTGGTCAGGGGCGTGGAAGGCTGGGGTTGCTGGGGGGGCGAAGGGGAGATGCCGCAGGTTTGTGTGTGGGGTGCTTCCCAGGACCCCAGACTGGGACATGTCCAGTTAGAGATCTCTGGTAGGTATCCCAGTGTTCAGGGGGCCACGGAAATGTCCCTCTCATAGGCATTTGCTTTATGTGTTACTACCAGGACCCACATGTTTTAACAGGCCAATTCCTGCAAGACAACCGAGGCTGTGACCGCTAGCCGAAGAAGAAGGTGCAATCGCTGTGCTCTCCTGGAGGGTCCGCGGGGAAGCCTCCTGTAGCCAAGAGCTCACCCGGAAAAGACGCCACGGTCAGAACAAAGCGAACAAGCCGCCACGTGACAGCTCACATGTCAAGGCCCACAGCTCGGTTCCAAAATCAGTCTACACGTGCGGGCCGGGAAAGATCTGGCTTGGGAGTAATTCCTGTAAAATATCAAGGCTCTGCATGTCCACTCACGGTGAGGCTCACAGACAGTCCTGCTGTGGCAGATTCCCCAAACCAGCAAAAAACAACGAGGCCCAGCATGCTTGGCCTGAATCCTGAAAATTCTGAGTCTGCAAGAAAGCAGGGATTAAGAGGGCAGAGGGAGAAGGAGAGTGTGTGAGCAGAAAGCTTGCAGCAAGAAGGGGAAGTGAAAGTGGGGAGGTTTGGGGTCATGGTGGGGAGAGAGGGGCAGGGTGGGTGGAGTGGGGCTGGGGTAGGTGGAGAGGGGGTGGAGGAAGAGGAGACAGAGGGGAGAGGGTGGGTGGGTGCGGAGGAGAGGGGCCTTTGGGGGCTGGTGCAGAGGGACCGGCCAGAGGTCAGGCTTCTGCCTCCTGTCCACCCTCACCAAACCTCACTCATACCAGGAAGATGGACAACTGTCATCGGCGCCCTTGGGGGCTCCGGCCTCTCTTGATATGTCAGAGGACATTTCTCTGGCGGCTGCGAGCATTTCGTGGCTCTTTTTCCAACACTTGCCTGAAATCTTTCACCTGTTATTTGGAGATCAGGGTTTGAAAGGCAGAGATGTGATGTATTAAGAGAGGCCTCGGGGCGCCTGGGTGGCTCAGTTGGTTAAGAGAGGCCTGGGCAAAGCCACGTGACACTGGGTGATTCCGTCAATGTTGCCTGGTGTCAGGCTGAGCTGTGGGATGACTGAGATAACATCTGTCAAGTGCTCAGCACACACAGGTGTTGGGTAGTGTGGTTTTAATTGTACTTCCCGCATGCTTGCTGATTCGGCGGTGGATCCGCAGGAACAAGAGCCCCTTCCCGCCACTGCACGGGATGTAATTTTCGGTTTGTGTGCACACACATTACACACACGTTTTATCACAAGGGGCTGCGTAAATATCCACATCCCATTATCCGTTTCAAAACCCGCCCTGTCGTAGGCACGGTGCATGTCTGCTCTGACCCCCACGCAATCCACTGGAGGAGACATCTGACCGCTAACAAAGCACGCATTCCCAAACCGTACTGAGGTCATCACCTCTTGTGATTAAATAAATGCAGGTCTTTTGGCTTGGAGAAAATCCTCTTTCTGACTCCAGCCGATACGGAATGACAAGGCATTTGAAGCTTTCAAATTGATTTTCTGCCCTAGGGAAAACGTGAAACAGGAAGTTTTGAGCGTTCGGGTTCCGCCTCAGGTTGTAACAGGACTCGCTCTGCTAGCCTGCCTGTAAGGGGGGGGCAGCTGAGCAGCCCCGCCTGTGGCTGGTGGGAAGGCCAGGCCCCTGCGCCCACCCCCCAACACACCTGCTCTCCGTCACCCTCGCTTCTTCAAAAGGCTGTGCTGATTGTCATCAAAAGATGCAACTAAACTTCACAATTGCAATAAGTCAGAGTGAAGGACTTGACGCACGACAGAAATTCAGGTCACACACACGGGGGAAGACTTCCCAAGGTCCCAGTTCTTCTAGGGGAGCTAAAGCTCTCACGCCAACTCATAATCTCTTGCAAAGCAATGACTACTTCAGTTACTCACACATGGCCTCGGTGGAAAAGAGCCTTCTATAATGACAGTACAAAGTAAGGGGTCCGTCCGGTCCGTCCGGCGCACCCATGAGGCCTGGCCCTGCTCTGCGGGCTCCCACAGGAGCCCCCCCGAAGGACCACATGCACCACTGCGCTGAGGCTGGCCCCCTTCACAGGAGAGCATGGGGAGCACAGACAGCCTGCACGACTCCCCCAAACTACCAAGGCAGGGAGAGGGGCGTCCGGTAGAAGCTGGGTGCTTGCAGCAGCTCGCATGCCTTTATCATCGAATATTTACCAAGCACAAAACACAGTCACCCCACTGCGAGGACACAATCCCCCTAAATGTCAGCAGGAGCAGGACTGGGCTTTAGAGGCCACGTCGGCGTGTGATTTTGCTAAGAGTTATTCGTGTGTATTGATTTCGGCAATGCGGTTCTATCAGCCAGACAAGGAACCGCATCTTATCTTCCGCTGGGCTGTGTCTGTCCAATGCTTCCTGTGAACTACAAAGGGAGACTGGAAGACCACTGGGGAGGGAGCATGTGGAAAGCACTGCTGAGAGAGTTCTTTACGTGGCGTGGTCACTGACTCAGTAAGGGGAGGAAGCCAGGCCGGAGCAGGCGCGGGTGGGGATGGTGGGGCGGCTCACCCAGGCCGTTCCACCCATCACATGGAAATGGTCACTCCACCTCTGACCCAGAGGAAGGCCAGTGTGGGACTGCCAGGTGCCAACAGCAGATGACACTGACAAGCAGGGATGCGAGCGAAGACATGACACCCACTGTCTTAGCCTGACAGCCATGGTGGACGGGAAGCAGCCCTCACCTGAGTGTGGTAGGTCTGAAAAGAAGGAAGCAGATTCTCTCTGTCTCTCACATGGAACTGTGAATGAGTCCCTCTAAACTAACAGGGAGTCACCAAGCAAAC